TTTGACAGAGTCATGATAGTTTAGCGACAGATGTTGCTGAGAGGTCAAGTAATACAAGATTCAGAAAGAATCCATGTATTTAACAACTAAGTATGGCATTAACTTTAAGAGAGTCTTAGAGAAATGGTGAGGAGAAGTTGGGGAGCAAGGACAATGTCATCTTTAAGGATGCTCTGGTGTTGGGTACGGAAGAGAGAAGATCGAGGCTACGAGGAAACAATAGGATCAAGAAAAGAATTTTAGGGACAGGAGAAAATTTATGTTGGAGGGTAAGCTTGGACAGAAATGTTGAAAATACAGTCAAGAAAGAGCAGGGACCTTCAGGAGGGGATCATTAACTAGAGACCTGAGAAGAGGTTTGGACAGGGAGGGTGCCTCATTATTAGACTGGAGAGAGGAACAAATGAGAAGATTGAATCATTGTAAAGAATATGTATTTTCTAGATTACTTCTTTGACCTTAATTGAAGCCTGACTTTATTTGAAGACACCATTTCTCCCTCGAATTGGAGACAGCTCATATGACATTGCAGGAATTAGAGTGTTTGAGTTCATCACAGGGCAGATTACTTCTGATGTTTCTGAGGCCTAGAGCCATTTGATACCCCAAATCCAGGCTCTAGCTCTGGGCCATACTGCTGCCCTGCGTGAGCAAGATCTCCTCTGAAGTCCAACTGGAAGTGCCACCCCACAGCAGAATAACTTACTCTCTGCCTTGAAGTGGATGGAAAATCTTTTTTAAACAATCTTTACTCAAAGCCTCAAGAAATGCAACTATGTCTAAAGTTGAGCCTTCCAGGTTCAAGATATATTAAGTTGTATTATTTTTGCTTTTTAACCAGTTAGTTCCTTGAGACTTCAGTATGTATATAGGGCAACACAATTTAATTACTACCTGCATCACTGAGGTAGTAATAATCAAGGAATTAAACTTTCCTTTTTCTTGGCAAATTCAAGAAATTGGTTGGTCCTGGTGTTTTTGAAAGGGGAGACTTTGAGTTAGAGGCAAATTTTTATGTTTTTTGTAACTTTTTGGAAGGAATTTTTAGCTTATGTATACATTATAAGAAATGTTCGGGGTTTTTTTTTTTCATATTTGACAGGAATGACTTTGAAATATTCACAACTATCTCAAAGGCTCTCTTTCTCTAAGGATTTTGAAACTATTCTTAACCCCGACCAAGTTGCTCATTTGGTTAGAGCATCCTCCTGACATGCCAAGGCTGCAGGTTCCATCTCTTATCACTGATCAGGGCACCTACAAGAGGCAGCCAGTGAGTGCATAAACAGGTGGAACAACAAATCAATGTTTTTCTCTCTCTTTTTCTCACTCCCTTCCTGTCTCTAAATAAATAAATTTAAAAAAATGAAACTTTACTTGTGCATTGTTGGTAGTAGTAGAAGTTGGAATAATAACATCAGGAGAACAATTAAATCTAGCAAAATTTAAAATATTGGCCCAGAAATTAATAGAAATATATGCAATAGGCCAAGCCGAAAAATATACATGTATATCTAATAGGTATAGGCATGTATATGGAACAGTGCATTTATGAGGATATTGTTGCAACATTGTATGTAATATCCATATGCCCATACCCATGAGACATATCATGTAGCCATTAAAGGGAAAAGTAAGCTACCTGGGGTATTTTTCCAAGAGGAATTAAGCTCTGGTAATGATCAGAGCTTTTGTTCTGTCAAAAAAAAAACAGCCCTGGCTGGTGTGGTTCAGTGGGTTGAGAGCTGACCTGCGAATCATAGGGTTGCAGTTCCATTCCCAGTCAGGGCATATGCCTGGGTTGCCAGCCAAGTCCCCAGTAGGGGGTGCTCAAAAGGCAACCACATGTTGATGTTTCTTTCCCTCTTTCACCCTCCCTTCCCCTCTGTAAAAATAAATTAAATGGGGAGGGGAGATAAATAAATAAATAATAAAACAACAGATCCTTTCTAAAAAGATATGTAAGAAATTGCTAATAGTAAGGAGGGAGCCTGGTTGGCTAGGAACAAGAAGGAGGGAGCCTGGTTGACTAGGAACAAAATGTTGTATACCATTTTCATCAAACAAACTTATTTTAAAGAAATTAATAAGTGATGCCTTGTCTTAAAGAATTTCTCCAAAATTCCCAAGATTATTTCATAAGGAGCTGTTGAATAGGCAACAGATCTAATTTAGACATGTTCTATGGATCCAGGTTCTATGGACCTCATGGAACCATGGAATGATTTGACAAGCTACGTTATTATGTGATCATTTTTCTCAAAGTAAACCAGAACTTTTCACAATCGCTTATGATACATTGTTTGAGCAATTGTAACTACTGATTGTTAACATAGTATTCAGTTCTTATTGACATGAGATTTCATCTGTCTGTGCCATCTTTCTTTTTAGAAATGTATCCATTGCTAAAAAACTTTTGAAAGTAGAAATAACAATAAAATGACAAGTCACCATAAACACTAGAAACAACAGTGGAGTTTCATATACACAAGATATACATAGTGGCCAGTATTTGTAACTCCATGCTTTACTGCATTGGAGTGTGAGTGATTTTAGAGAAAACCTTTAAATAACCAATCTATTTGAATGAATGACAAATATTTGTGGCAACTTACAACTGATTGTGGAACCACCATTATGTCAAGATAAGGTGAAAATCTTTTAGGTTGTGTTGCTGGGCCATTACGTCAGCATTTTCTGTTTTCTATTAAGAATAATAATAAAAGAAAGGCCTTAGAGAAAGTAAAAAGTGAAATTAACAGCTAACTCAGAAATTGCCAAGTATCATAAAAAGACACATAAGCTATTTTTTTTTACGCTTTGTGAATAAAAAGTTAAAATACTTTGAACAGTAAGACTGAGATGATTACAAAGAATATTTTGTGAAGGGGACAATCTATACTCTGTTGCTGGACAGAGAGCTTTACCTTACACTGGAAACCAGGACTTCCAGCCAGGCAGTGCAGATTGCTTGAGAAGATCATCAGATTGTCAATATTGACTATTCTTTTGCCCAGTGATAATTATCAGAGTGGTTGTTCATGGTCAGTCCATCTGTAGCCCTCAATCACAATGCACTTTAAGTTTATTATAAATTTTTTTAACATATAGAAAAACAGTATAAAGAATAGAACAAAGAGTAATATATGTGCATATATACAGGGTCCAGCAGAAGTAACACCTACTTGACCGTGGTTGCTAGGGTATGTGAATGTCTCCTATGGGATGGACAGCAATTTGAACATTTTACTTAAAATGTCATACAGTGTGCTTGGGTGTGATACTATCATGTTACAGAATTACATGGTTATGATTTTGTAATAAAAAGGGGTGTTTTTTGTGCTGAACACTATATATACAAGGAGTGTGTCCACCAACAATTGTCAACATTTTGTATATATTGTTGGTTAAAGCTTCGTCTCTATACGCCAAGTTTATAGTTTTGATCCCTGGTCAGGGCACATACAAGAATCACCCAATATATGCGCAAATAAGTGGAACAACAAATCTCTCTCTGTCATTGCTCATTCTCATATCAATAAATAATCTTTTGTTTAAATGTAGCATGTAACATTTTTTAAATGGTTCAGATGGTACATTTTAAGTGTATTTTACTACAATTTTTTAAAATGTTGAGAACAAATACTGCTTTATTTTTTTTTAGGTTTTATTTATCTTTAGAGAAAAAGGAAGGGAGGAAGAAAGAGGAGGAGGGAAATTAACTCCTTCTTCCACATGCCCAACTGGAGAGGGACTGGCCCACAACCCAGGCATGTGTCCTGACTGGGAATCAAACCAGTGACCTTTTGGTTCACAAGCCAGCACTCAATCCACTGAACCACACCTGACAGAGCCCAATGCTGCTTGAAGGCAGCAGAGATAATGGCTAAATGTGACACTGACCTCTGAAGGACGGATTCTTTGATAATCATACTTTTGCTGTCATACTTGATAGTACCTTTGCTCTCTGGTCCTTAAAGTAACAAAAATGTGATCTAGTATGTTGGAGCCTGTCTTTCTGAACTACTTGTGAAATTTTAATGTATTTTCTTTTAGGTGTAGTAATGTGCACTAGAAGTAGCTTTCTAACAGTTGTCATTTTTTCTCATTGATTTGAGAGAGAAAGAGTGAGCAAGAGAGAGGAACATATTTGTTGACCCACTTATCCATTCATTCATTGGTTGCTTCTTGTATCTACCCTGACCAAAGACTGAACCCCCAATCTTGGAGCATCAGGACAATGCTCCAGCCACTTGAGCTACCTGGCTGGGGCCTAGTAATTGTTTTAAAATAAATCATCTTATTCAAATTAGCCAGAAAAAATTTTTCTCCCTTCTTTGAACTAATCATGGTAGAACATACCATGGTATGCTAATATTGGCTTTAACATTCTCTGTTGTTTTATTTCTCCAGGAACTTACAGACTTTTCCTGCTAAGACCTCAATTTGTGTTTTAGAAAAGCAGAAAGAAATACTGTGAAAGACTGAAATAACCTAAATCATCTAAAATTAAGGCATACATAATGAAACAACTTTTAGTACTTGTATAGAAAAGGTATGTATTTGTTTAAAAATTAATTTATCATTTGGCTTTTTAAAAGTAACAAAGTACTTTAATATATTTGTTTCTCTTGAATACTTTTCAGTCCTTAAAGATTATTTATTTATTTATTTATTTATTTATTTATTTATTTTGAAGAGAGGGGAAGGGAAGGAGAAAGAAAGGGAGAGAAACATCAATGTGCCTTTCATACAACCCCTACTGGGGATGTGGCCCGCAAGCTAGGCATGTGCCATGACTGGGAATCAAACCAGTGACCCTTTGGTTTGCAGGTGAGCACTCAATCCAGTGAGCCACACCAGCAGGGTACTTTTCAGTTTTCATAGAACATTTTAAAAGTACTTTGAAGGTAACTCAGTTTTTTGGTTTTTGTTTTGTTTTGTTTTTTAGGTTATCTGCTTGTAGACCTCAGAATATCAGGATTTGAAGCAGTTAAGAAATGTCTCTGCCAAGTAGACAAACAACTATTATTAACCCTCTACCACCAGCATATATAAATGCTAAGAAAAATGGGCGATTGACAAATCAAATGCAGTATCTACAAAGAATTGTCCTGAAGGCTTTATGGAAGCATAGTTTTTCCTGGCCTTTTCAGAAACCTGTGGATGCTGAAAAACTGAATTTGCCTGTAAGTATTTAAAAAAGAAAGAACACCTCATAAATGTTTGAAAGAAATAAACTAGTCTATAATATTATAAAATGTCATTAATAAACACTCAATTTGTTCAGCACCAGTATTTTTTCCTTAATGATAACGCTAATTTTTCTGAGTATTAAGATTCTTATTATAACAGTTTGTGTTAAATTATAGTACATGCTTTCTTGTTATATCATATATGTCACCTGACCCTTTAATGCAGAGTTGTTGCAAATGTTACCTCCATAAACTTTTTTTTTCTAATCCTCATCCGAGGATATGTATATATATATTTAAATTGATTTGAGAGAGAGAGAGAGAGAAACATTGCTGTGAAAGGGAAACATCGATCTCTTGCCTCCTGTACAAGCAGGGGCTGAAACAGCAACCTAGCTATGTGCCCTGACCAGGAATTGCCTGCAACCTTTTGGTATACAGAATGATGCTCCAACCAACTGAACACCTGGCCAGGGCCTTGAAGTCTCTCCTGATAGTTCTTGGCAGACTGTTGTATCACACACAGAATTCAACTGTAGGTCTTAAGAATTTTTAGGCATCTAATAACAGAACAGCTAAGTATTGTGTAAGCTAGTAAACCATGGAACTGGATTATACTTTAGATCTGTCATATTTGGTAAATACTGGTTTTTTTTCTTCGTGACCTTTTATTTTCTGTTTTTCAGGATTGTTCTTTTACATTCTTGTGATTGTTATTCTTTATTTATTGGCTTTTTTTCTTCTGAAAAATAATGCCATGGCAATCAGCTTTGTTTCTCATTACTGATGGTTTTGGTTTCTAGATTATACCTTTTATTTTATTTTATTTTATTTATTTTTAGAGAGAGAAAGAGAGGAGAGAAACATCAATGTTTGAGAGATGCATTAATTGGTTGCTTCTTGCACACCCCTAACTGAGGACCTGGCCCGCACCCCAGGCATGTACCCTGACTGGGGATTGAACCAGTGACCTTTTAGTTCACAGGCCAGGACTCAATCCACTGAGCCACACCAGCCAGGGCAGATTTTGCCTTTTAAAAGATAATGAGTTCTCTCTAGTTAGCTTTCTTTCTCATTACTAATGGTTTTGCTTTCTAGGTTATGCCTTTTTAAAAGTAATCACTTCTTTCTAGTTACAGGAGTAGAGTTTGTTAAATTTCCTTTTTTGCCAATTATAATGCTTCATACTAACACAATGTCTTCTTGAAAACCATAGGATTATTATACCATTATAAAAAAACCAATGGATTTAAGTACAATTAAGAAGCGCTTGGAACATAAGTATTATGTGCAGGCTTCAGAATGTATAGAAGACTTCAATACGATGTTCTCAAATTGCTATTTATACAACAAGGTATGTAAGCCTTGCTATACTTGCTAACTCCATGCTGTTACATATAGGAGATGTGCGGTCATTTCAGATCTCAAGACTTGATTTGGAATATTTTACATACTTTTGAGAATCATGATTTTTATCAGTTTTTATAATTTTCATCCATTAATATTAGTTTAGTGTATTTGCTCTATGTCTGCCTAAAGAGCTGTAATGACTTAATATGCTTTAAATAATGAAATGTCAACGATAGCTGGTTTCTGTGAGTAAAGTATTATTTCAAAATATTCTCTCTTACACTTTCGCCATTTCAGTTATAAGATGATAAACTTTATTATACACTAATCTTGCTTAGATTTTCATGGTATGAGTCCTTGGCCATAACCTCAGAAACCAAATTACATACTTCTCTACTACATGACACATTTAAGATCAGACACAGTCTCTGTTTTATCTCAGTAGCAGTATTTGCGTTCCTGTTAATTCATTAGTCTGTTTGATAGTGTATGTGGGCATTTTGAATGTAATCTTCACATTTGCTTTCATTCATAAAATTGCACTTGCATATTCTGCTTTTTCCTCCATATAGTAATCCTGTTTCTAAGAATACTGCATCATTTTCAAGCTCTTCTATGATATCTAAACATTTAAAAATTTATACCTCATTTATTCAGAATCACAAGTTACACTGACATGTAATAGAAATTTTGATTTGCTTCCCAAGAATTATCAGTGCCACCTTATATGTATAAAATATTTGACTGTTAGCCAATGTCATTTAAAAAAGTTAGAACAAATGATACTCTCAAAGTAACACTGGCAACTTTAATTTAACAATTCTAAAGGGTCCTTTCACATTTTAACATTTAAAACTAAAGTTCAGCAATTCTCCTGGACTACCTAACCTAGAAATAAGTGTTCTCTGCTTTAGGGTTTTGCTTTGTAATTTAGTTTTGTTTTCCCCTCAATAGCAAAGTAAAGCAAAGGAAGACTTCTGAGCAGGTAGTTAAGATTTAAAAATTAAGTTCATTGGTGTCATTTTATCATTTAGTTCATTGAAAACTGAATTGGGACAATTCAAATAATGAAGTACTTTGATAGCCATGAATAAGTTTCATTTTAACCTATTCGTGAGGTAGAAATTTCAATTTCTAATATCTTTGTATTAGTAGTATTGGTTGAACTTCAACTCTCTAATGCCTAGGGCATCTTGGGACCTCCTTAGAAGTTAAAGAGGAAGATGTTAGAATTTAAAATATGAGCCGCTACACTTTTCTAAAAATAATTTAGAAGTGATAAATATGGTTTAATAAATATTGGATTAGCCAAAAAGTTCATTTTTTTTAGTAAGATGGCTATAGTAGCACACAGTTGTCTTTAACTTCATTTGAAACAATTTTTTTAGATTGTATTGTGACAGCTGTCATATCAGTATATATTTTTTAAAAAACTTATCAAAATTGGTGAGTTTTTGTGTAGTCATTTTAATATTGAAGATGAAAGAAAACATGTAACATTTTAAGCATATTATACTTTATTATTTCAAGGAAAGTAAAAATGCAACTGAAATGCAAAAAAAAAAATCTGTGCAGTGTATGGAGAAGGTGCTATGACTGATCAAACATGTTGAAGGTGGTTTGTAAAGTTTCCTGCTGGAGACTTCTCGATGGACGATGCTCCACAGTCGGGTGGACCGGTTGAGGTTGATAGCGATCAAATTGAGACATAATTGAGAGCAATCAACATACCATGCAGGAGATAGCCAAAATAATCAAAATGAAAATCAGTAAAGTTATTGATGGAAATGAAAACTGTTTATTTTACAGAAAAAAAACACAGACTTTTTGGCCAACCCAGTATTATTTAATAAATGTGTTATGTTACTGCCTTCTATAAAATAACCTGACTTACAGAAACTTGGTATTAACATAATGTCTTCTTGAAAACCTTAAGATTATTAATGTACCATTATAAAAACCCAGTGAATTTAAGTACAATTAAGAAGTGCTTGGTATAGTGACCATATTGTCTAACCTCATGCTGTATTTTATATATTTTCTAGCCTGGAGATGACATTGTTCTTATGGCACAGGCTCTAGAGAAGTTGTTTAAACAGAAAATATTACACATGCCACAAGAAGAGCAAGTTGTGAGTGGTAAGAAAAGAACAAGGAAAGGTAATCCAGAAAAGCTTTATGTTTTTTCTCTTTCTCTTTCATATATATATAGAACAAGGACCTATAATATGATTCTTTCCTCCTCTGTAATTCTGGGCTATTATTGCCTTTATTTGTAATCTGAATCTTGCTTCCCTCCTTATTTTCTGAAGGATTTTATTTTATTTTTTTGTTATCCCTTTGTTTCGTGCATCATTAACATCCCCTCTATGGGGTTAGTTTCATTACTATAAATATGCCCTAGTATCTGGTCTTCACAATTGACCTTTTAGCCCTGGCCAGGTAGCTCAGTTGCTTAGAGCATTGTCTCCATATGCCAAGGTTATGGGTTCAGTCTCCAGTGAGGGCACACACAAGAAGCAACCAATGAATGAATAAATAAATGGAACAAGAAATCTGTCTCTCTCTCTCTCTGTCTCTCTCTTAAATCAATAAATAAAAAAATAAAATTAAATTAACCTTTTACACAAGAACAGGCATATAGATCAATAAAACAGAATAGAGATCCCAGAAATAAACCTACACCTTTATGGTCAATTAATAGTTGACAAAGGAGGCAAGAACTTACAATGGGGTAAATAAAGACAGTCTATTCAATAAATGGTGTTGGGAAAATTTGGACAGATGCATGCAAAAAAAAAAAAAACTAGACCACCTTCTTACACCATATACAAGAATAAACTCAAAATGGATTAAAGACTGAAATGTAAAACTCAAAATCATAAAATCTTAGAAGAAAACATAGGCAGTAACAGCTCAGACATTGCTCGAGTCATATATTGCTCAAGTGATTTTTTTCTGATATATCTCCTGTGGCAGGGGAAACAAAAATAAACAAATGAGACTATATCAAACTAAAAAGTTTTTGCCCGGCAAAGGAAATCATCAACAAAACAAAAAGACAATCCACTGGAATGGGACAACATATTCACCAATGATACACTTGATAAGGGGCTAATTTCCAGCATATATAGAGAACTCATACAACTGAACTCCAAGAAGACAACCCAATTTAAAAATGGGCAAATTATATGAATAGGCATTTCTCTAAAGAGACATAAAGAAATATGAAAAAATGCTCAAATTCACTAATCATAAGAATGATGCAGATCAAAATTACAATGAGATATCACTGCACTCCTGTCAGAATAGCCATCAATGAATAAACAAGGGTTGGAGAGGATGTGGAGAAAAGGGAACCCTTGTGCACTTTTGATAGGAATGCAGACTGGTGCAGCCACTGTGGGAAACAATATGTAGTTACATCAAAAGACTAAGAATGGAACTGCCTTTGACTTAGCAATTCCAGTTCTGGAAATACCTGAAGAAATCCAAAACACTAATTTAAAAGAATATATGTACCCCTATGTTCATTTTAGCACTATTTACAATAGCCAAAGATCTGGAAACAGCCCAAGTGCCCATCAGCAGAGGAGTGGATAAAAAAGCATTGGTACTTTTACACAACTGAATGCTCCCCAGCCATAAAAAGAAGAAAGTCTTACCATTTGTGATAGTGAAATAAGCTAGTCAGAGAAAGACAAATATCATGTAATCTCACTTATATGTGGAATCTGATAAACTGATGAACAAAGTAGAAACAGTCCTATATAGAGAACAGACTGACAGCTGTCAGAGGGGAGGGAGAATAGAAGGCTGGATGAAAGCAGGTAAAGAGATCATTAGACAAAGAACGTATGTGTAACACAGATGATAGTGTAGAGATACAGGGAAGGGGGTGAGGGGTAGGTAGAGGTAGGCAAAGCAGGGATAAATGGGAATGGTAAGAGACTTTGAGCAGTATGCACAGATTGGTTGTGCAGATAATGTTTTAAGATGTACTCTTGAAACCTGTATGGTTTTGTGAACAAATGTCACCCTAATAAATTCAATAAAAAATAAAATCAGAATTATGTTTTTGAGGGCAAGCCCCTTGTAGTACTGGCTTTCCCTCAAGAAAATGAGTGTAAGTGTTCTAGGAACCCATCTGTATCAGTGTACCAGCTGGCATTCTTGTATGTGGCATCGGTGAATTTTTTTGAAGACCCTTTCAACACGTTTGCCCATGTTGGGTGATTTATGAGCACACCTGCCCACACCACTCTCAGTGTTCAGCAATTTTTGACCAAAAATAGCATGACCGTGATGCCCCACCCTCCCTATGGTCTCACCCGGAGTGACTTTTTTTTTTTGGTTCCTTGGATGAAAAAGGTCCTCAAAGGGAAACATTTTGTCAATGTGGAAAGAGGTGAAACAAAAAATGGCAGAAACATTGAAAGGCATCAAAACCAACAAGTTCAAAAACTGCTTTGAATGGTGGAAAAAGCATCTCAATAGGTGTATTGCATCAAATGGAGAAAACTTTGAAGGTGACAAGTTTAAACACAAAAATAAATACACAATTTTTTATAAATTCCAATTTTGGGGCCCATGTTGCTAAGTTTAATTAAGATTTTTCTCCTTTCATTTAGTCGACTTCTATCAGTATTTGCTTAAGAAGCTTAATGTCTCTTTCTTGAAGTGTCTTTAGTTCTTGGTGCCTACTCCAGTTGTGTGAATTTACTTTCCACACTGTCCTCTTGACCTTATAATCCTCTTTTTCTCAGTCTGTATATGGGTTTGTTTGCAGTGCCTGATATTAGATATTCCTAAATGTCATCTTTGTTATTAATCTCCAAATTTATGTCTCTAAGGTAGTCTTCTCTGAGCAACCAATTCTTATCTCCAAGCCACTAGACATGTTCACTTAGATGTCTTATACACATCTCTCAGTTAACATGCTCAGTTCAAAACTGATCTTTCTGCAATCATTCTTGTAACAGAAAATGGTACTAATACACAGTGTTCAAGCCAAAACACTAGAAGCTGTCCTTGACTCCTTCCTTGTTTTGATTCTTTGTCATACCATGTTAATTAGGAAGTCATTTGGATTTAACTTCCAAATTGCCCTTCCAACTATCAGAGGACAGGCTACCATCTACTTATAGTGGCCCTAATTTTTCTGGTTGGTCTCTTCTCTATATGATAACAAAAGTGATCTGTTAAAAATAAACTAAACCATGCCATTCACCTGTCTTAGGCTGTCCTTTGCTTCCCATGGAAGAATGAAGTCTAAACTCCTACCATAGCTCTTTATGACCTGATCCTTATCCAGTGTTCCATTCTTATCCTGAGCTACTTTCCTCTCACTAAGTTTTCCCTACCGGTTGTCTTGGAATTCATTTTTACTGCCACCCCATTCCCTGGCTGTGTACTTCTTATCTTTATAGTAACATCTTGATTGGTACCTGTTGAGACAGGCCTTTCTTGGCTATCTTCCTCATGTAGTGGGACTCTACCTGAATTTTATCAGCATGCTATCTATGCTGTCTATTTCCTTCCTAACATTTACCATCACTTATAATCAGTTTGACTATTTATTTTTTGTCTGTTTCTTACACTAGACAATAAGCTCTACAAGGACAGACATTGTCTTGTTCATTTTTGTGTCCCAGCAACTAGAATGGTAGCCTGATACATAATAGGCATGCAATAAATATTTATTGATCCCTCTTGTGTTCCAAGTACTGTATTAGGCACAAGAGATACAATGGAGAACAAAACAAAGTCTCCTTCCCTTCACAGAGCTTTTTGTCTTGCTTGAGGAAATAGATTAAATTAAGTAAATATAAATATTCCTCATTACACTTACTTCTTTAGCTCCAGAGGTCAAAGAGCAACAGTTGGGAAGATATCAAAGGATATTAGGCCATCTGAAGCTTGTTGATTCCTAAGTTTTAGTGAGTAGTGAGAACTCAGAGATTGAGAAATACCAGCCCTATCTTAAAATATATTTAAATCTGTTTGGTTCCTGAATTTGGTTAGCAATAATTTGGAGAGTCTGGAATACCTACATGTTAGATTTCACATGTGATAAGAGCTTGGTAGGAGTAGAGAATTGGAGAGTGGTGAGGGTACAGAGAGTTGTTCTATATAAGGTGGCTTGAGAGGGGGACATTTGAGTAAAGGAGGCATGAAATGATTTTTGAAGTAAACCATGAGGATATGCCCTTCCAGGCAGAGCAGATAGTCTGCTTATGCTTAACAAATTTGAGGACAGCCGACCCAGATGAAGTGAAATAAGTGAGGGGGAGAGTGATGGCAGTGAGGTTGGAAAGAGGGCAGATGAAGTGAAAAGGCAAAGAGATTGTGCATGTGCTTACAAAGCCATTGTGAGGACTTTGGGTCTTGGAGAGGAAACTAGAAGTCATTTGTGTTGAGCACCGGTTATCATAATTTTATTTAAAATTTAAAAGATCTTTTTTATCTGATTGCTATTTTGAGAATTGAATATAGGATATAAACACAGAAGAAGGAAAGCAAGTTAGGATGCTAGTACACTAATACTCTTGAGAATTGATGATACCTTGTCCCAGGGTGATTACCATTTGTGAAAAGTATATAGTTGGATTTTGGATATGATGATAGAGCCAAAAGGGTTTGCTGATGGATTTGCTATTGGGTTTAAGAGAGTGGAATCAATCGAACCAGTGACACCTTGGCTCACAGCCCACGCTCAATCCACTGAGCTACACCAGCCAGGGCTATGTCAGAGATCTTTTTGAGTAAAATTGATAACCCTCTCATTACTAACAGATTTTTAAGTCTTTGATATTATAGCTAAACTGGTCTAGCACTACAAGTAGGTGTGTGGGAGGTTTTCAAAGGGGAATGGGAATGTACTATGTTTATATTTCTAAAAAGCTGAACTAAATGGATTAAAATAGAATACTAAGAAAAATATTAGTTTTATATTTCACTCAAATATTGACTCTGATTCACACTCTACTAGGCACTCAACAGAATGTAGCAGTTTCTTCTGTTAAGGAAAAACAGTCTTCTAAAGCATTGGAAAAAGTGTTGAAGCAGCAAGTGAGTCCCTCTGTATTTTCTGAAACCTCTGCTTCTCCTTTAAATATGGCACAAGGTGCTCCACCCAACTCTACCTCACAAACAGTTGCTCAGGTAAGTTTACTGTAGCTTTAAAATATTTCAATGTAAGTTTGATTGATGCCTATACTTTAAAAAAATATTTATTTACTTTGAGAGAGAGGGGAAGGGAGGAAGAAAGATAGGGAGAGAAACATTAGTGTGTGAGAGATACATTGATTGGTCGCCTCTCACGCACCCCCAACTGGGGACCTGGCCCACAACCTAGGCATGAGCCCTGACTGGGACTCGAACTAGTGACCTTTTGGTTCACAGGCCAGTGCTCGTTCCACTGAACTATACCAGCCAATGCCCTACCTTTTTTTAATTAAAAATTTAAAAAATTACTTACGATTTGAGAGAGAGACAGAGAGACATTCATTTGTTGTTCCACTTATTTATTCATTCATTGTTTGATTCCTGTATGTGCCCTGACTGGGGATCAAACACACAACCTTGGCATGTTAGGAAAATACATTAGTTATTTATTTTGCTTATAAAAGAGAAATAAACTTTTACTAATATTTAACAGGTGTAAGACTTGGTGCTAATAATCTTTTTTGTTTTGTTTTGTTTAAGAAAACTGTCATTCTGAATATCACCTTATAGTTTTTGTTGTTATTGTTTTGAATGGTTCTGTTTTAGGTTACCAGGGGTGTGAAGAGGAAAGCGGATACAACAACTCCTACAACTTCAGTAGTTAGAGCAAGTGGTGAATCTTCCCCAGTACTTACAGAAAATAGACCATCAAAAATGCCACCTATAAAAGAAACTGTGTGGAAGAATGTTTTGCCAGACTCTCAGCAACAATATAAAGTTGTAAAAAATGTTAAAGTAACCGAACAATTAAGACACTGTAGTGAGATTCTTAGAGAAATGCTTGCAAAGAAACACTATTCATATGCATGGCCCTTTTACAACCCTGTTGATGTTAATGGGCTGGGACTCCATAATTATTATGATGTTGTGAAGAATCCAATGGACCTTGGAACTATCAAGGTAAATGTCTTCATAGGGGGGACTTCAATTCCTGATTAGCAAAGTGATTTTTGTCCTTGTAAAGAAATTTAAAATTCAGAAAATGATAAAGAATAAAATCACGAGTAGTCACATCACCTGGAGTGAATCATGGGAACATTTAAAATGTATCTCTTATTTTCTCCTATTACAGAACCATGGTTCTTTATAACAATATTTGAGTTACATTATGTAACTCTACCCTGAATTTTCACTTACATTTTGGACACTGTCTCAAATATATATTCAAGACTTTTTAATAAATGCATAATTCAAATGCAAAACAAAGTTTTTGGTAAACCATTTATATAGTTTCTAACCCTCTTTTCATGATAAGTTTTCTTAATCGCTAATTTGGAAGCTTTAAATTATTGGCAAAATTTATTTAAATTTATTGATTTTAAGGAAAATTACTAAGAGAACAGAACTGTAGCATTTACAAAATTACCAGTCTTCCTCATGAATGATTACTCATTGTACTGCATATTTATTGTCTAGAACTGATTTTCATCCTTTTTCATCTCATGGTACACAAACTAATTACTAATATTACGTGGCACACTGAAGTGTGTATATATATATTGCCAATCTGACAAAAGAAAATAAATATGATTTTGATTCATTTATACCAGATGACTATTGTGTTGGATGCTATCATTTTTTAAATTTGACAGTTGAAGGGAAAAGAGGTCAAATACTCTGTCTAAATAGTCAGGTATTGTGTGTTTTAGAAATTCTTGCAGCACACTATGTTGTGGAACATCAGCTGAGAATCACTAGTCTAGTGGTTTGGTTCTTCTAAACACAGTTGTATTTTTTTAAAAAATTTATCATGAACATTGAGTTTAGTAACATGTTACTAATTTTTGTGCCCACCCTCATTTTTATCACCTAAATCTTTCATTCTGGGTTTGCTAAATTGCAAACTTTGTTTCTTCCATGAGCACTTAGGTGTCAATATTTTGTCATCATTTTTTAAAAATAATTTTTATGTTTAGTTATTACTAACTATATTCCCTATCCTAAATTTATATCACCATGACTATTTTGTAACTATCAAGTTGTACTTCATAATCTACCTTTTTCACCCAGCCCTACCCCTCTCCCATCTAGCAACTGTCAAATATTCTCTGTATCTATGAATCTGTTCACATGACTTTTGTCTTTCTCTGTCTGACTTATTTCCCTCAGTACAATCCTGCAGGTCCATCTATGTTGCAGATGTCAAGATTTCATTCTTTTATGGCTGAGTCATTCCACTGTATATATGCACCACTTTTTCTCTATTCATCTATTGATGGACACTTAGGATCCTTCCATATTTTGGCTATAGTAGATAATGCTGCAAGTAAATAATGTTGCAGTGAACATTTGGATGTATATGTCTTTTTGATTTAGTGTTTTGGGTTTCTTTAGATAGATACCCAGAAGTGAAATTGCTGGACCCTTCTTTGTCTCTTGTTATAACTTTTGTTTTAAAGTCTGTTTTGTCTGCTATAAGTATTGCTCCTATCCCAGCTGTTTTTCTTGTTTGTTTCCACTTTCATGAACTATCCTTTTCTATCCCTTTACTTTCAGTCGGTGTGCATCTTTTGATCTGCAGTGAGACTCTTGTAGACAGCATTTGTAAGGGTGTTGTTATCCATCCAGCCACCCTAAGTCTTTTGATTGGCACATTTAATCCATTTGTATTTATATTCATTGTTGATAGGCATGTATTTATTGCCATTTTATTATTCAACTGCCTCCCCCCCCATTATTCTTTTTAAAGAAGACCCTTTAACGGTTCTTGTAATGCTGGTTTGGTGATGATGAACCCCTTTAGCTGTTTCTTGTCTGGGAAGCTCTTTATCTGTTTATCAATTCTAAATGATAGCCTTTCTGGATCTCAGAATAATCTTGATTGTAGGTTCTTGCTTTTTATCACTTTAAATATTTCTTGCCATTCCCTTCTGGCCTGAAAAGTTTCTGTTGAGGAATCAGCTGACAGTCTTTTGGGAGCTCCCTTGTAGGTGACTGCTTTTTCTCTTGCTTTTAAGATCTCTCTTTGTCTTTGACATTTGGCATTTTGATTATGATGTGTCTCAGTGTGGGCCTCTTTGAGTTCATCTTGTTTGGGACTCTCAGAGTATACCAGACTTGCATGTCTGTTTACCAGGTTAGATAATTTTTCTGCCATTATTTTTTCAAGTAGATTTTCAATTTTTTGTTCTCTCTTGTCCCCTTCTGGCAGCCATATGATGTGAGTGTTGGTATGTGTGAAGTTGTCCCAGAGGGTCCTTAAACTGTCATTACATTTTTAGGTTCTTTTGCTGTTGTGATTGGGTGTTTTCTGCTTCCTTCTCTCCCAAATTGCTGAGTTAATTTTCTCCTTTATCTACTCTACTGTTAATTCCCTGTATATTATTCTTCATTTCAATTAATGTCTCCTTTATTTCTGACTGGTTCTTTTTATTTGTTTGTCTTTTAATTATATTTTATTAATTAAGCTATTACAGTTGTCCCAATTTTCCCCCCTTGCCTCCCTAAACCTTATAACCCCCACTCCCTCAGGCAATCCCCATACCTTGTTTATGTCCACTGGTGATATATATCATTTATTTGCCTACTCCATCTCCTATATTGTACTTTATATCCCCATGGCTATTCTGTAACTACTTATTTGTATTTCTTAATCTCACCTCTTCACACATTATCTCTCCCCATCCCAATCTGGCAACCATCAAAACGTTCTTCATATCCATGATTCTGTCTCTTCTTTTTGTTTAGTTGGTTTTTTAGATTCAATTGTTGATAGATTTGTATTTTTTGCCATTTTATTGTTCATAGTTTTGATCTTTTTCTTAAATAAGTTCCTTTACCATTTTATATAATAATGGTATGTTGATGATGAACTTTAATTTTTTTCTTTTTTGGGAAGTTCTTTATCTGTCCTTCAATCCAAATGTTACCTCTGCTATGTAGAGCAATCTTGGTTGTAGGTGCCTGCTTTTCATGACTTTGAATATATTCTGCCAATCCTTCTGACCTGAATTTTTTTTTTGAGAAATCAGCTGACAGTCTTATGGGAACTCACCTGTAGGTAACTAACTGCTTTTCTCTTGCTACTTTAAGATTTTATTTTTAACTTTTGGCATTTTAATTACAATGTGTCTTGGTGTGGGCCTCTTTGCATCCATCTTGTTTGGGACTCTCTGTGTTTTCTGGACATGCATGTCCATTTTTTTCTCCAAATTTGGGAATTTTTCTTTGATGATTTTTTCAAATAAATTTACAATTTCTTGCTCTTTTTCTTATCCTTCTGGCACCCCTATTATGCAAATGTTGGACCTCTTAAATTTGTCCCAGAGGCTGCTTATACTATTCCTCATTTTTTCTAGAGACACTTTTCTTTTTATTGTTCTGATTAGTTGTTTTTTGCTCCCTTCTCTTCCAAGTTAATTGATTTGATTCTCAGCTTCATCCATACTACTGTTGTTTCCCTATAAATGTTCTGTATTTCAATTAGTAAACCCTTCATTTCTGACTGGATCTTTTTTATGCTACTGAGGTCCTCATTAAGTTCCTTGAGAAGCCTTATAACCAGTGTTTTGAAATGTGCATCAGCTAGATTTAGATTGCTCTTCTCCATTTTGTTTGTTCTCTTTTTGGAGTTTTGATCTGTTCTTTCTTTTGGGCCATGTTTCTTTGTCTTCTCATTTTGGAACCCTCCCTGTATTTGTTTCTATATATTAGGTAGAGCTACTAAGTCTCCTGGTCTTGGTAGAGTTGCCTTATATAATAGGTGTCCTATAGTGCTCAATGGCCCTGCCTCCCCTGGGCACTCCAAGTGTAACCCATGTGTGTACTGTGTGCACCCTCCTGTTGTAGTTGGGCCTTGATTGTTGATATGTTAATGGGAGGGATTTACTTCCAGGCTGATCAGTTGCCAGCACTGGCTGATACCCCAGTGGAGAATCTGTTGTGCAGAGGCTAACCCCAAAGAGCAGGATGCACTTTAATACGGCCCTGTTTTCCACTGAGTCCACCCCTTGAATATGTCACTTGTGGAGGTGGTTGGGTGGTGCTTTGGCATGATCTGAAGCTGTCCACCAGGTGTGCTGACTCTGGGTCCTTTTAGGAGGTACAGGTCAAAGTTTGCTGCCATCTGTTACCTGCCTAGGGGCCACCTGGTATGAGCTACAAAGTGGTCTGCTGTTGGTTGCTACTGGTACTTGGTTCAGGGATGTCCTGGAAAGGCCAAGTTGCAAGCCAAGCTCACAACTGCTGGTGGCAGGCATGGGACCATGTAGAAAGAGGTACTGGGCATGCCAAGGCCACATACTGCTTTTTTGAGAGATTTTAGGGAAGTCTACAGAGTAAGTCAAGATTAGCCATTTGTGTGGAAAGGTCACTGGAAGTGGCTTGACTGGGCCCAATAGTTTGGTCTCAGGAAATCACCAAGGTTAGCCAGGTGGATGGAGATTCAGATGTGATACCTGTCTGCCACTCTGTGGGGGGAAGTGCTCATTCTCAGCAAAGGAACAATAGCTTTTGCCAGCACTTCTGTCTGGGAGAAAGCTGCTACTCTAGCCCTTGTCTTGATGCCAGGTGACTACATTCCTCCACATATGTCCCAGGTACCTTATGAGATGCTGTCCCAGCACTGGAGCTTGGAGCAAGTGTATCCAAGTCAGTTCATGCACAGGTGGTTTCAGAAGAACACATGGAACTCCAGCAGCCCTCTGTTTTATTCAGCCACAATACTTGTTTATTTTCACAGCCATAAGTTATGGGGACTTCCCAGCACTGGAACCATGGGTCCTGTTGTGGAGGTGGGACACCTCACTCCTCAGGGAGAACCTCTGCAAGCTATATGTCCCTCTTGATTTTTAACCACTATACATGGATGCAGGACCAGTCTGATCTACATCTCTACCCCTCCTACTTGCCTCGATATAGCTTCCTCTTTATATCCTTAGTTATGGGACTTCTATTCACCTAGATTTCATGTGGTTCTGAATGGTGGTTGCTCTGTAGTTTAGTTGTAATTTTCATGTGCTTGAAGGAAGATGTGAGCATTTCATTTACTTACTGTGCTATTTTGACCAGAAACCCAGTTTTTGGCCCTATTCTTGAATGATTCTTTAAATGACTATGGGTTTCTAGAATGAGTTATTTCCCTCAGTATTAGGAAGTTATCTTCTGGCATCTATTGTTGATGATAAGAAATCTTCTGTCCGTTTACTTGTTGTTCTGGAGGTAATCTGTCTTCCTCTCTCTAGTTGTATAATTAATTTTATTCTTCCCAATTGGAAATTAACACTTTCAATCTGAAGTGCATGTTTTCAGTTTTGAAAAGAACATTTAACATACTTTGGCATGTATAATGTACACTTTTTGCCCATATTTTCGAGGGGAAAATAAGGATGTGCATTATACATGGGTAGTATCAGAAATACCTTGTATCTGTTCTTCTGTTTTGTAATTATTTGTTACATAAAATTTCTTGTACCATAATATGTTCAAAATGAATCCTAAAACTCCTTTATAATACAAAAAAGAAGTATCTAAATATAAATAAATAAAATATTGAAGTAAAATGAAAGGTTTTTTTCCTGAAAGTTTGCAACCAAAATGTGTGTGCATAATACAGAGGAGTGCATCATTATACATGGCAAAATATGGTAACCATTATCTTTTCAAAATATTCTTTTATTTCTCCAATTATGCTATAATAGTACACTAATAATAAGTCATAAAACATTACCTAAACTAAGTAAACCCAAGCTAAACCTTAAAGGATAAATAGGACTTAGTAAGTTATAGGGCATTGGGGAATCAACTTGAAAGGCACTGAGGTGAGAAAAGCATATCCAGAATGCTGTATCTAGAACAACATGGAACATGAAGAATAGGAAACAATGAAACCAGAAGGAAAAGGGCTTGAACACCAAAGACCTTTATGGTAAAGAGGCCAAGACTTGCCATTAAACATGAGGAGAATTATGCCTTGATACTTGATTGGTAGAATGATTTCTGTAGCAGCAGTGTGAAGATTGGTTAGGAGGCTGTTTAGGATTCCAAGGGTAAGAAGATGATGACTTCATTTTAGTTCTCTGAAATCCTTCCAATCTCCAGTAATCTAATAGGCAGAAAATTGTTTCATGTTTTAGTTTTGCATTTTTTAATTACAAATGAGGTCTGGCATGTATTTATTTATTGGCCTTTTGTTTTTGTTTATGAATTGTTTATTAATACACACATGTTTTGCCTGGAAGTCTAAAAGGTTTTTTTTTTTCTCTTTGGTTGTTTTTATACTTTTATAGTGTCTGTCTAACTGGCTACTCTATATCCCCACTCTTTTATATACTTTATAAATGCAAGTACCAAAAAAATGTAGCCTATGCAGATTATTTTTTTCTATTCATTTTTAAATGTCTTTTAATTCCTAGGAAATTTTAATGTAAATCTTACCTTTAGATATTCAAGGTTGGTTTAAGGAGTTATCTTTTCACTGCTTTTCTGTGATCAAACTTGTCTACTCAAGATTATCTGAACACACTGTGTTTTCCTGCTTTCATGACTTTGTTCCTGTTCTTTTTTTGTCTTTACTTGAAATGCTCTCCTCCTTCCTTATCTCTACTTATCAAAATTCATTGGATTTTTTTCCAAAGTCTAATAATATGAAACAGATAAAGCAGAATTTTTACACTTACAAATCTAGATGACAGGCATTTGTTTTGGCATTATCTGTATTATTCTGTATGTTTGAATCCATAATATAAACACTTAACATAGGTGCTCCAATAATTATTGAACTATATTGTTTGTGAACCCTGTAATTTTTTTCCTTATTTAGAGGAAAATGGACAACCAAGAATATAAGGATGCATATGAATTTGCTGCAGATGTTAGATTAATGTTCATGAATTGCTACAGATACAATCCTCCAGATCATGAAGTAGTGACAATGGCAAGAACACTCCAGGTGAGTTGTAACATGTGCTCTGAAAGTGAATTTCCCCCTAATACAGTTTATAAATTTTTGAACCATAAGTCAAGAGATAAAGAATAATACCCATTCCCAAGCAGTAAAGCACAATTTATAAATTATACTCTTAAAATTGGCAGGATTAGTTTTTTATTTGTTTTTTGAGGTATAGCATTCTTTAGTATAATGTGGGGGAGGAGAGAGGGTTTTCAGGACCAACTATAAAAGGACACATGGATAATACCAAGTGGGGTGGAAACAGGAGGGGGAAGGGAGATGGCTGGGCTGGGGTGGGGTGGAGTGGTGGGAGGAAAATGCAGACAACTGTACTTGAACAGCAATAAAACAATCAGTTAAAAATAAAAAAAATATTTTAATGAGCTGCCCCGCACATAGAAGATACTGGGGGAAATATTAGTGAAGAGGGTACAGTGGATATCTGAAAGGGGGTGAACTGGACCCCATGTTCCATTGAAGAGAAGGCTTAAGGCCTTTTGAGGCTGAGCCATTGAGAGGTAGTAGAGTTGTATACCAACCACAGGGCCGGGGATCCTTGAAAGAAGGTCCCCCAAATAACTTGAGAGGTATGTATTACCAGGAAAAAGTGAGAAAAGTTGCTAAGTTTTTCAGGCAGGGAAGCATGACTCTTATATTTTTTCTTCTGGCAATTTTTATCTAGTTTTATAGTGATGTGACATTTAACATTATATAAGTGTAAGGTACACAACATAATGATTTGATAAATGTATATATTATAAAGCAATGACCACAAGGAAAAACAGAATTATCATCAAAATATGACACTAAAACGTACCTTTTGTTTTCTGCATTACATTAAAAATGCAGAAAAACATTAACCGTCTAATTTTCCGTTATAGGATGTTTTCGAAATGCATTTTGCAAAGATTCCAGATGAACCTATTGAGAGTATACCTACAGGTAACAGTCAAACAGACACCACAAAAACTCATGAAAGAGAAAGCAGTAGTGAAGCTTCCTCTGAAGATAGCTCTTCTCATGATTCTGAAGATGAACAAGTTCAGCGTCTTGCAAAGCTTCAGGAACAGGTTGTATTGATAGAAGTTTTATGTTTTTTCTATGAGTTGTTACTGCTGATCTATTATAAGATACTTCTTATAGATTAAAAGGTGTTATATTTAGAATGCTTAGCTTTACCTATTGGCATATTTGTAATATTTAATAGTTGTTCCTGCTAAAATATCTATATCTTGAAATTGTGTTATTTGTATTCTTAACCACAATGAGTTGATTTGCATTGAAATATATGACGAGATATTTTATGAGTGAGATATTTATTTAATATTTGCTACCTTTTATGATAAAATATTAACCTACTAAAAGCTGAAACCTGAAAAACCAATGATTAAAAACTTAAAACTACCTGGAAATGTTAATTATTCTTGATCTGATTTTAGATGAATATTTAAGTTTATGGATTGAACAAATCTATACCCTTCAAAATAATGAATTTGTGAAACAAAATAAGAACTTGAAGGAAATGAATTTAAAATGTAATGTGAAGAATACTCTTGACTTTTGAGTGCATCATTTTTTCTGTCTTTGATTATTTAGAGCCCTTATGTTTAAAGTATTTTTTCCTTTATCAGCTTAAGGCTGTTCATCAACAACTACAGGTTCTAACACAAGGACCTTTCCATAAGGTAAAGAAAAAGAACGAGAAGTCTAAAACGGAAAAGAAAAAAGAAAAGGTTAATAGAGATGAAAATCCAAGAAAAAAGTTTAAGCAAGTGAAATTAAAGGAAAAGTCCAAGAGCAAGTAAGTATCTTGTATGATGCCTTATTTAAAAAATAATATTAATCTAAAATTAATTTGATGAAATTTCATTTTCATTGCAGTCAGCCAAAGAAAAAGAAACAACCAATGTTGCCTCTGAAATCTGAGGATACTGATAATATTAAACCTATGAGCTATGATGAGAAAAGGCGGTTAAGTTTGGATATAAACAAACTCCCTGGAGATAAACTTGGGAAAATTGTTCATATAATACAATCAAGAGAGCCTTCAATGAGAAATTCTAACCCTGATGAGATAGAGATAGACTTTGAAACACTGAAAACAACAACACTGAGAGAACTCGAGAAATACGTTACTGCATGTCTAAGAAAAAAGCCACCAAAACCTCATGGTATGTACTTCTGTGTATTAGTAGATAGCAGTCTGGCGTTCAGTAGTTCTGAGTTATACTCGCTTATTTTTGTATGTGTCCTAAATCACACAGGTAAGAAAATTATGAAGTCCAAAGAAGAACTTCATTCACAGAAAAAACAGGAGTCGGAAAAGCGATTACCGGATGTCAGTAATCAGTTAAATTGTAGAAAATGTCAAGCAAAATGTAGGTGGCAGTTTTCAAATCTTCCTGTGTCTCTTTAATAAAATCTACTGTCATTTCAATGTGTTTCCCTGTTTTGTAGCTGAGAAAACTCCATCATCCATGGCTGTTGTTGGAATTGGTTCCCGACTGAGTGGAAGCAGCAGTAGCTCATCAGAGCCTGAAAGTAGTAGCAGCGATTCAAGCTCTTCACACAGCAGTGATTCCGAATCAGGTTAGCTGTCTCCTTAAGAGTGCCTCTGGTTGTGGGAAATTTTTTTTCTTATAATACTGATGCATTTTGAAAACCTTTTGTTACTTATCCAGAACAAATGGCTTAATGCCATACTTATTATTTAACTGCATGTTGATGATCTCACTATTTTCCTTAAGTGATTCTATGTAAAATGAAACTTCATATTATATGTATGACTTACAAGCTTGTGATGTTGAAAATAATATTACTAAAGGTTGGATAGCCTCTTAGTATACAATACCAGATCAGATCATTAATACCAGAAAGTATCAGATAATAAAATGCTGATCTTTCTTTAATAAGATAAGAGATTATATGAGGACATCTTTCACTTTACTCTCCACGATATAGCAGACCACTCTGATGTTCCAAAGCATGTCCTGTTGTGACACTATATTATGAATCGAATAATCATTTTGAATTAAGAAACCAGTATACTAGACACTGTGTAAAGTGGATTTTTCACTTCTATATTTTCTTTGCTATAGAATAAAATCCTCTATAAATAGAAGATAAATAAATAGAAGATAATATTCTATAGCAAAGAAAACATAGAAGTGAAAAATCCATTTTACAGTGTCTAGTATACTGGTTTCTTAATTCAAAATGATTATTCGATTCATAATATAGTGTCACAACAGGACATGCTTTGGAACATCAGAGTGGTCTGCTATATCGTGGAGAGTAAAGTGAAAGATGCCCTCAAATAATCGCTTAGCTTATGATACAACCATTATGGAAAACAGTATAGAATTTTCTAAGAAAACTAAAAATGAATCTGCCTCTTGACCCAGCAATTCCAGTGTTAGGAGTATATCCTAAGAACCCTGAAACACCAATCCAAAAGAACCTATGCACCCCAATGTTCATAGCAGCACAATTTACAATAGCACAATTTAGTAAGAGCTGGAAGCAACCTAGGTTAAGAGCCCATCAGTAAATGAATGGATCCAAAACTATGGTACATTTACACAATGGAATTCAATGCAGCAGAAAGGAAAAAGGAGCTACTACCCTTTGCAACAGCATGGATGGACCTGGAAAGCATTATGCTGAGTGAAATAAGCCAGTTGGTGAAAGACAAATACCATATGATCTCACCTTTAACAGGAAGCTAAACAACAAAACAAACAAACAAGCAAAACATAACCAAAGACACTGAAATACAGAATAGGCTGACAGGTACCAGAGGTGAGAGGGGAGAGAATTTCAAAGGAAAAGGGGAAGGATTCACAGGAACAAGTATAAAGGACACATGGACAAAAACTAACGGGTGGAAACTGGAGAGAGGTGGGGCGCACTGGGCGGGGTGGGCTGGGATGGGAGTAAAAGAAAACTGTACTTGAACAATAATTAAATAAAATTAAAAAAAGAATGTTCTATTTATAAAGAATTGTACTTTAAATTCATACTAGTTATACTAAACTACCTTATTACCTTGAACAGCTTGTCAGCTATACCAAAATTACCTCACTCACGTTTTCTTCATGCTGCTTCATTGGTGGTTATGTAGTTGAAAAGTTATCTCTGCCCCAATGACCCAAGCCTGGCACTGGCATTCCATTATTGTTCACCAAAAGACAAATTCAGAATATAGAACACTCTGTGCCTAAAATTTTGTTTTATTTTACAGATGTTTGTTTGTCATGAAATTCAGTTCTCTTTTTTACAGACACAGCCCACACAGAACATCGTCACATCAGGTCTTCCTAACCATGTTAAGACATCCCTGTTATTTTAGTCTGGTAGTAAGGGTCTGCTGGCTTGCACTACATTCGGTTTTCAGTTTTGGCTCTGTTTAGTTGACATTTCTGTGGTGCTTATTACTATATTTTGTTTTTACATTTCTCAAGTACATAGTGGTAAACATTTTTGTTAGAATAAGCAGACTTTTAATTGTGTTGGAATTAGTCATACAAGAAAAATTTTAATTTAGGGCTCAGATTATACATTATTTTCTTATATTTGACTTTTAAGCATAAAACAATGCTAGAAAAACTCTCATGTTGTATTTAGTATTTTAACTAATTAGCATCTATAATTTCATCTAATAAAGCATCTGTAGCCTAATTAGAGTACTAATTGTCTTTTTTAAATATATTTTATTGCTTCTGCTATTACAGTTGTCACATTTTTTTCTCCCTTTTATTCCCCTTCACCCTGCACCCTCCTCCCACCAGCATTCCCCAACCTTTATTCATGTCCATGGATCATACATACAAGTTATTTGGCTCCATTTTTTTATACTGTTCTTAACTTGCCCCTGTCTATTTTGTGCCCACTATTTATGCTTCTACTTCCCTTTACCCCCATTCTCCCCCAATCACCTCTCTGCTGATAACCCTCCATGTCATCTCCATTTCTGTGATTCTGTTCCTCTTATAGTTGTTTGCTTAGTTTGTTTTTGTTTTTGTGATTTTTTTAGGTTCAGTTGTTGATAGTTGTGTTTGTTATCATTTTACCATTCATATTTTTTATCTTCTTTTTCTTAGATAATTCCCTTTAACATTTCACATAGTAAGGGCTTGGTGATGATGAACTCCTTGAATTTGACCTTGTCTGGGAAGTGCTTTATCTGCCCTTCCACTTTGAATGATAGCTTTGCTGGATAGAGTAATCTTGGATGTAGGTCCTTTCCTTTCATGACTTTGAATACTTCTTTCCAGCCACTTCTTGCCTTGTAAAGTTTCTTTTGAGAAATCAACTGATAGTCTTATGGGTACTCCTCTGTAGGTAACTGTCTCCTTTTCTCTTGCTGCTTTTAAGATTCTCTCCTTCTATTTAATCTTGGGTAATGGAATTATGATGTGCATTGGTGTGTGCTTCCTTGGGTCCCACTCTTTGGGGCTCTTCTTTGGGGCTCTCTGAGCTTTCTGGACTTCCTGGAATTCTATTTCCTTTGCCAGATTGGGGAAGTTCTCCTTCATTATGTTTTCAAGTAAGGTTTCAATTTCTTGCTTTTGCTCTTCTTCTGGCACCCCTATGATTTGGATGTTAGAACATTTAAAGTTGTTCCAGAGGTTCCTAAGCTTTTTCTATTTCTTTTTTTTTTTTTTTTGAGTTCTTGTTTCTTCAGTGTACCTGTTAAGTTGTAAGGGGTGGAGCCTTAGGTAGTTGCCAAGATATAGCAACTCACTTTGCTGAGTTGAAGCACTGTATGTGGGGGAGGGTCCGAGAGGAAACAATACCATTTGCTGTGCTCTCAGCCAGCTTTCAATTACTCCCTCTGCTACCCACAAGCAAACTGGGCTCTTCTGGTGCTGATTCACGTGTGGGTGGTTTTGTGTAAGTCCTAGGACCCTGTGGGTCTCTCCAGCAAACTCTCCTGTGAGACTGGGAGTTTCTCCTGCTGCTGCAACTTCTACAGATTTTTTCAGTCAGAGGTTTTGACTGAAAAACCTCTTTCCCTGTGCTGGAACCATGGATTGGGTGGTCTGTCTCACTCCTCAGTTGTTCTCCTGGTTTGTCTGCACACAGATGTGGGACCACCTGGTCCACCAGCCACCACCTTGACACAAGTCCTCTCCACCGCGGCTGTGCCTTCTACTGGTCTGGATGAGTGTTTCTTTGACTCCTTGGTGGTAGGACTTCCATACAGTTCGATTTACTGGCAGTTCTGGTTATTTTTTGCTTTTAAATTTGTTGTTATCCTTCTTTTGATTGTGCAGGGAGGCAAAGTGTGCCTACCTATGCCTCCCTCCTGGCCGGAGGTTGCACTTTGTCTTTTATTTGTAGGATAAAACTTATATTGAAACTGTTTGAATTATTATCTATTTATATATTCACTTCTGATCAGTAAATTCCTTCAGTATTAGAGGAAAAGTAGTATATACAGAGTGCTTCAATAAAGTAACTTAATTCTAATTTGAATTACCAGTTTCTGATAGAGCCTTTCATTATATGAAGGAAAGAAAATGTTTATCACCACTTTGCAGGGGAAAGGTGAGAGACATCAATTATGTTCCCTCCCCACCACTGCTTCCGCCAGGCCACTTTGTATTCTTAAAAGATATTCTCAGTTACAATTTTTTCTTTTGCCAAGTTTTTTTAACTGAACCAAATTTGACATTTTATTTTGTTTTTAAGTATATTTTATTGATTATGCTATTACAGTTTTCCCATTTTTTTCCTCTTTATCTCCCCTCTACCCTACACCCCCAAACCCTCCAGTTCCCTGCCCCTTAGTTCATGTCCATGGTTTGTACATATCAGTTTTTTGATTTGTTTCCTATACCATTCTTAACCTCTCCTCATCTATTTTATGCCTACCAATTATGCTTCTTATTCCCTGTACCTCCCCACCCCATTCTTTCCTTCCTCTTCCCCACTGAAAACCCTCCAGTGGTGATGTCTGTTTCTCTGATTCTGCTCCTGTTGTAGTTGTTTGCTTATTTTTTAGTTTTTGGTGTGTTTGTTTTTGGTTCAGTTGTTGATAGTTGTGAGTTTGTTGTCATTTTACTGCTCATAGTTTTTGATCTTCTTTTTCTTAGGTAAGTCCCTTTAACATTTCATATAATAGGGGTTTGGTAATGATGAACTTTAACTTTATACCAAGTCTTAATATGTTTTTTATTAGATTTATTAGGGTGACATTGGTTAAAATTTATACATTTCAAGTGTACATTTCTGTGATACATCATCTGTATATTGTTTTGTGTGCTCATTATCCAAAGTCACATATTCTTCCATCACCCTATATGTGACTCCCTTTACTCCTTATTATCTTCCTCCTTCCCTCTGGTGTAATATTTATTATGTTTTCCTAACTTTCTAGCAGAATAATGCAGACTCAGAATTCTAATTTTAAAATACTGTGTTGAATTTTTATTAAATGACATTCTTGTTTAATGTCATCATTTTCAAGTAACGGGCTATTTAATTTTTATTCATTTTTTTCATTGCTGACACTATTACAGATGTTACTCATTCCCACCCACCCCCCCCACTTTGCTCTTGGCTTTTACCACATTGTTGTCAGT